ATGGATATTGATATGATTGTTCGAATGGGTTTCTTTATTAATGATCTGAATCGTGATATTCAAAGACTCCATACAGAACAATTCGGTGGTCATCAATCAGATAAAACATTTATAGTTTATCGTGGACAAGGTCTTTCGAAAGAAGATTTTACTAAAATGACAAAAACTGAAGGTGGACTTCTCTCATTTAATAACTTTTTATCGACTAGTAAAAATCGTGATGTTTCTCTCAATTTTACACAACAAACCACTACAAATCCTGATATTGTTGGAATTCTATTTGTTATATCAATTAATCCTACGTATTCAACAACTTCATTTGCTTCTGTTAGTGATGTTAGTTATTTTCATACGAAAGATGAAGTTCTCTTCTCTATGCATACCATTTTCCGTATTAGAGATATTAAACCATTGGATGAAAATAATCATCTATATGAAGTAAATTTAACATTAATCAATGACAATGATCAAGATTATCGTACTCTTACTGATCGTATCAAACAGGAGAGTTTTCCAGATTCGAAAGGGCAGTATAGGTTAGGATTACTACTAACTAAAATGGGTCAATTCAATAAGGCTCAAGAAGTGTATGAAGTTTTACTTCATCAAACAACGAATGATAGTGGCAAGGGACCTATTTATTATCAACTAGGTTCGATCAAACGTAATCAAGGAGAATATCAAGAAGCACTTAGATATTATGAAAAATCACTTGATATCGATCAAAAAATACTTCCTTCTAATCATCCAGATTTGGCTTCTTCCTACGTGAGCATCGGTATAGTATATGATAGCATGGGTGATTATCCAAAAGCACTTTCTTATTATGAGAAAGCTCTTGAAATTCAACAACAAACGCTTCCTTCCAATCATCCTGATTTGGCTTCTTCCTATGGCAGCATCGGTTTAGTATATTGCAACATGGGTGATTATCCAAAGGCACTTTTGTCTCATGAAAAAGCCCTTGCAATTCAGCAACAATCACTTCCTTTCAATCATTCTGATTTAAGTACATCCTATATCAACATCGGTAGTGTGTACTACAACATGAGTGATTATCAAAAAGCACTTTCTTATTATAAAACAGCTCTTGCTATTCAACAAGAATCACTTCCTTCCAATCATCCTGCTTTTGCTTTATCCTATATGGGCCTTGGTTTGGTGTATAAGAACATGGGTGATTATTCAGAGGCACTTTCTTATTATGAGAAAGTCCTTGAAATTCAACAACAAACACTTCCTTCCAATCATCCTGATGTGGGTGCATCCTATACCAACATCGGTAGTGTGTACTATAATATGGGTGATTATCAAAAAGCACTTTCATTTTATGAAAATGCGCTTGCAATCAAACAACAATCACTTCCTTCCAATCATCCAGATTTGGCTTCTTCCTATGTGGGCATCGGTATAAAATACAATAGCATGGGTGATTATCCAAAAGCACTTTCTTATTATAAAACAGCCCTTGCAATTCAACAAGAGTCACTTCCTTCCAATCATCCTAATTTAGCGTCGACCTATGATAACATGGGTGTGGTGTATGAGAATATGGGTAAATATTCAGAAGCTCATTCATTTTATGAACATGCTGTACAAAATGGACAACAATCATTACCATCAAATCATCCTAAGCTTCAAAAATGGAGAGAAAACCTCGAACGTTTAAAAACGAAATTATAATTTTTTTCTCTATTTATTTTTTGAAAGCAAAATAAAACTGATGAAAAAGAATATATGCTTAATGAATAGAACGAACTAGTCTTTCTGTTACAATATTAAAAAAGAGTTAATATTATTGATAAACTTATCCATATTAAATGAATATAATACGTGTACATAAGTATAACTGTACTTAGTAATTGAAATCAACAACTCACTATTGATAAAAATCATTTGTTGCTTTTAAAGAAAAATTCAGTACTAAATTAGTTAGAAATTACATGATTCGCTAGGTCGCGATGATTTAGACAACGGCAAAATGATGTAAACTCATTCGAAATCGATACTATTCGAGAGAGAGAAGTTTAATATTCATAAAAACTTTGACACTCTGAAAAAACGAAATAGAAGATATTTTGATAAAAATTCATTGTGAAGATTTCATTTATCAAGATGAGATGCAAATAATAGTTTTCAGAATTCTTTTCTTTGAATTAGTCATTATATACACAAAACGATAGAAAAAGTTTAAAATAAATAAATCTGTATTTTATATATGCATATAAAACATAAGTTTTGAAATAATTTTTTCGTACCAAAAAAAGACCAAGATATTTTATCGAAAAATAAATCCTAGAAATTTGAATAATATTTACTAATGCACTAAGTCAAAATATAATTATTAACTTTCGTGCGTCATATATATATATATATATATATTTAAAGATCAACTCCTTTGAATTCGACTGATCATATTACAAAAATGATAAACATCAACAAAAAATAAATATTTTGGTAGATGAAAAATAATACCAGTAAAAAGAAGAAATGTATTGAAATATTGATTTATCTTTTGTTTTTCTTCACATACTGACATGTACTATTTTAAAAGTAAGTGCTTCACACCTACAGTCAACATAGAAAAAATCGAATTATATAGACATCAGTATGAGAGATTTACATGTTAAAAATACATATTTATTCAGCTATTATTTAATTCTCTGTTAAGCATGAATCAAACAATTTTATTCATCCAGGTGGATATCTTTTTCCCTGATCAACTAATACCAAAATATCAGCATCAATTTTCAATATAAATATACTTTTCTCTCCCATTAAATAAATAGGTAATAAGAAAAAAACATATAAAAGCCATAGTAATAGAAGATTTCTTGTTTTAATATTAATTATGTCGCTTCTTCGAAATTTCATTATTTTTCTTATCTATATTAATTCATTATCGTATGCTCTTCAATGTACTACAGATTGTTATTTTCAATCAAATCTCTCAACTACATTTGAAATACCTAAATCATGCAATCAAATAATATCTGCAAAAAATTGTGGAATTCGAATATCATTTTCGTATTCCCCGTATTACTCGGGTCTTTCCTTCAATTTTCAACACTCGAATTATTCTTCTGGTGCCTTCTATAGTTCTTCAGTAGAGCTATCAGATGGTGGTTCATTTTCTTTTTATTACAGTATTGATCATACCTGCAATCATAAAGATGATTGTGCAATAGAATTTGCAAACAATAATATACGTAATATACTTCGTCGTTTGGATTTTAATCATGCAGATTTGATTAGAGAACTCTCCCCTCTACTTTCAACGAACGTATCAATTGAGACTAGTGACGTCGCATGTTTTGATTCTAATGAAAGAGTACGTCAATGTGGAATTGTTACCAAACCTGGACTATGTCAAGCAGCACAACAATTAACAGGAAGACAAAAGACGAACCGTACTTGTAACTACGAAAGTTACAGAGGTGAAAAGTCGGTAAGCATATATGATTTCGGTTCATTTGCTAGCTTTTCTATCACATGTAATCGATCATTATGTAATGGACCTGTGACACAACAAGTTATAAAAGAAATTATGTTTAAATACAATATTACAAAAACAATTGATGGACGATTAAATAATGGTTTACGTCTTTCATTATCTTCTACATTTCTGTTGTCAATCATTGTTTTCTTATTGTATGTTTAATTCTTTAATAGATTATTCTCTAATAAATAAATTTCATAATATTCGTTTTAATCATCAAAAATGAAATAAATAGATAGAATACATGATAATGAAAACGATCGCAGGAAGTAGTTTTGAAAAAAGTCACCTGCCTTATATAAATAACTAAATACAGAAATGGATACGACAAATTTGCTTTAGTTTGTGCATCGACTTTACTGATGAGTTATATGCTTTTTCAGATAATTGAACATTCGTTTTTACTTTTATGATCACACTATTACTTTACAAATTGAAGATTATTATACATCAGTATTTGAAACGTTCTAGATAATTAATCGCGATCTCTTTATTTTATCTTATTGGTTAATAATATTTTTGTTTATGTAAAGCATATTGAAAAAGAAGTCATTGGTACTATAATATTATATCAGTATTTTACGATAGGCTATCGGAATTTATTCATTTATTAATAGCATGTAATACATCTTAATTCTATCAAAAGAGAGTGTCTATATTGAGTTCAACTGATTCTATTTAACAATAAAATATATAACAGTTATAGGAAATTCTGAAAAAATAAATCCTAGAGGTTACTTCTTCTTGAAGAATCTTCGGCTAATCTTTTTGTGCAAACCTAGGAAAAAACATGTTTCAAAGGTCAGTCATTTTGACAACAATGAATCGATCGCTAAATCACAAATTCCTAGTGTAGATTAATATATAAACATAAATCATATTACAGTAATCAATCAAATAGATAATTATTAATAAAAATCAAAAGCGTAATCAATGAAGAATATTTCCAATGATATATTTTCTTCAGAGATTTATCAAATAATACTATCTGAAAACAAAACAAAAAAAATAATAACACAAACATATCTACTAACAATAATTTTTTTTCACAACGAAAAAAAAAATAACACTAAAAATTAAACAAAACAAAATTTCAAAGTTGTAGAATAAATTGTCCATTCGGTTCATGAAATTGTCTTCCAACATATGTAATCCATGCAATAATTCCAACAATTAATGATAATACAAGTAATGCTAAATCAGCAATTAAAAATCTTGTTGAAAGTAAACTAAATATTTTTAATTGATTAACTTCATAAGCAACTAATATTATCAAAAATATATTTATTAAATTAACAACAAATGTTATATATGCATGACTTGTTGCATAAATATGATATTGTCGACCTAAAATACATGTAAATACAAGTGGAAGAAGAATAATACCCAACAGAATAATAATAAAGCCAAGTGCAATTAATGAACCAAATAGATAGAGATAATCAGATGTTAGAAATATAAATGTTACATTCACTGTTAATAAAATAAAACCAACTAATGAATGATAGAATGCAAGACATCCTGCTAAATTGCCCCAACAAACACCTGATTTCCAATTTGAATCGGAAAGTATATTTGAATCAACGTCCATTGTATGATTTTAAGTGTCTTTGTGTAAAGAAAAAAACAAATAATAAACAATTATATAGATGTATGTATATATATATATATATGTCAGTGGTGTATATTTCGATTAGAACGACAGGAAGAAAAAACAACTGAATGAATTCTTTTATTAGCTGAATGTAATAGTTTATTGAAACAATTTTGTATTATTTTTCATCAGTTATGATAAACTATAAGTATGTCTTTTATCTCTAAATAAAAGACGTTCTTGTTTAGAATTAATCTTTGTAGTATTAAACAAGTCATCTTTGACCCTATTAGTAGTAAATTTAACAATATCGTGAATTTTTTTTATTATTTTGTGAATAAGTGTGAGGCGAGATTGACTGTATGGTTTGTGGTGTGAGGACATACAAAGCGACAACGATAGGAGGAGATTTCGAGTAGAAATGAACAACGATTTTTCAGATGACCCTATAAAAATTTGTTTCTAGACTTCATTTAAGGTATAAAAAAAGAGTTTATACTAATAGGGTTAAACAAATTTGTTCTAGAAAATACAAAATAAGTATTAATAAGTTTATACCATATGCTTCTTTCATATTTTTGACAGGTCAGGAAGACACTATTCTGACATTATTTTAGATAATTACAAAACTGCAATTATTTTTGTAACCAATGTTCATGTTTATTTGATTCGAAAGAACGACAACATATGGATTTCGATGTGTTTATAGCAAACGGTATTCATCTGTTGTCACTATTATATTATATATTCTTATAAAATGATATTATTTATTAATGAGAAGAATTGTATATATTCGTTATTAGTTTTATATACAAACTTTTCTCTATACCTAATATATATCTTTAGTTTTAAAAAACAAAATTTCATCACAATATTTATTATTAGATAGACAAGGAATTAAATGGAAAACAAGAAAATACAACGAAATACTTAGAAGATAATCTAAAAATAAGGAGTGATTAATATTTTTTCTGTCACACGCCTTTCAATTTTACTTATGAATTAACCATCAGATATTAAATAAATATTTTGAGAACATTATTAAAAAAGACTTTTGAGTACATATTCCATATAAATGTACTCAAATTTTTATATTTTAAATGATAAAAGTCTTTTATATTTTAAATGATAAAAGTCTTTTATAATTTTCTTTTAAATTAACCAATTTGTCTATTCAATTTTTGAATTCATATGAAAATATATATATTTTTAATTTGTTAGAAACAATGATCAGTCAAAAGAAATAAATAAATAATTTATAAATGTCAGAAGACTTCAACTAAAAAACAATAATAATAATTGTAAAGTTCTACTTTTTTTTTGATTGATCGACGTTTAATCATAACAGGATATGATTTAAAAACTAGGTGCATATTCTTTTATTTTCTTTCTTTCATCAAATGAATCGTTTTTTAATTCCCAAAAGCATAATATTCTTTTGTTTATTTCTTTTCTATATAAATGATAATAATCACAATTCAAACTAGATGAATATTTTAACAAAACTATCACATAAATTATTATCTGTCGAAGAAAAAAAATAAAAGAAAAATGATTAGTATATAGAATTCTTTCGATCGTTCGATGTGAATAGAATATTTAATTACTTTGAGATATATGTTTCTTTTCGTAAGATGTTATATTACCATATGCATGATTTAAAAATGAAAGTACGCATTACATAAAGCCATTCTAATCTCTTTCTTATGTATCTAAAAATCTGTGAAATAGAAGATTATTATTATTTGTTATAATTTATCTTAATTATAAAATTCCAATAGATTCTTTTGTCATTGTGTTAATAAAGAATAGGATAAATAATGTTATTATTTCTAATAGAAGGATTATTACTGTCTTTTGTGTTTAAATAATATGTCAGGTTTTTGAAAAAAACAAGAATAAAGTCATTTGAAAGTGAAAAATGATATGGGTATGGGTATTTATTTTCATATTTAAAAATTAATAAAACAGATGGTATGTCTGCATGACATTTGCCTTTTCAAATAATAATATTTAAAATAAAGTTCATGTTTTTTTCTTTGTTAAACAACATATGGAAAAGCATTTCTTTTCTATTCTTTACTTTTAACTTATTATATTTTGAATTAAATGCCATATTTACTTAGTTAATATAAGGAGCATTATATGGTACGTTTTTCTTTTATATTTATACATGTAAGTTTATTATCGATAAACAAAAAAACTATGTAAGTCATATTTGAGATAAAAATTGACAACTTTAGATGACAACAATGACAGATAAGAAAGAAGAGAAATGTCATTTTTCTTTTCTTGTGTAGGTTTGATCTAATAATCAGTTAATTGACTTTAACTAGTTGTTCAAAACATCTTTTATTGATGAGAAAAATTTTTTTTTTTCGTAAATCATTTTGTTAACTTTTAAAATCTAATTATATCTGCTTTTTATTAAAGAAAAAAAAAGTTGATTAAAGTCAGAAACAAACTATTTATAGACAAAAATTAAGAATTTAATTATATAAGTCACAGACATAGATCAGTTTTTAACAGTTATGTCATTGTGTAAGTCAACTATCTTTTAATAGACATCAAAAACAAGAACATGTCGTTCATTTGAAGATATTGATTATATCTTAATAAATATAAAGAGAAGAAAAAAAAAAGAAACATGATATAGTGTTGCTGCCGTCGTCTGAGTAGCAATAGTTGCCTGTCACCTGTCATCCACCTCCAACGATATTTATTGAGCTTTTCTATAGTGACTTGTCACACAATTATAGACGTCATCATTACCATCAGATTTCTATGTATCTTTTGTATTAATTTGTTAGTATTTACTATTTATAAAAACAAGAAGATACTCGCAGTCTTTTTTCCTTCTTTCCTAGTTGCCTTTTTTTTTAATTGAATTCGATTTGTCACAACAGCACGTTAGTTCCTTTCTTCTTCTTTGACGTCAGTATTATCGTCTCATCATATCTTTAGGAAGTGACAATTATTTCTTTTCTTTTTATCTACTCTCATTTATTCACCGATGATCTATCTATATATGTATATATTAGAACATCGTTTTCCATACGTTTTCTTTTTCTCCTTTAAAAATCTACCCAAGAGAAAAAAACACGAGCCGAAAGAAAAGAAACAAGATACTGTTAACAGATCCTACGTCATACTCCCTCGTTCATAATCACAAAGTGTTATTCGGGTGTATGGATGAATAGATGTATAAAAAGAAAGAATTTAATTTCTTTTAATTTACAAAATAAAAATATAAGAAAGAAAAGGCAATGTTTTTTAATATCTTTTTTTTCTAGTTAATTGAAGAGGAAAATCCAGATAACATTTTATGCGTAGTTTTTATATCAAAATTTGATAGATAGAATGAAATACAACAGATCTTTTTCTTTTGTAATTTTTCTACTATTACATATTGAACAATCGTAATATAATTTATTTATTGATCGATTCTGTCATCATTTTTCTAGCTAATATATGACAATTGAATTTAATGCGATAGATGCATTTTTCCACCCACGAATATCATATTATCCTTAGAGAGTTTTAATAATAAATATATATATTTATGCTTAAGAGATACTAAGAAGAAACACAATTGACAAGTAAAACATAGAAATTTCAGAAAGAGAATTTCTTTTTTTTTACTTTTAATTTCCCTTTTTATTATTTATTATCTTCTTAAATAAAAGAAAGAGCAGGTAATCCAGCTGTTTTTCTATGCATATAGAAAGTCTTGAATTCCTTATGTTTTTCTCTTTTTTTTTCTCTATTTCTTCGTTTTCTCCTCCCCCTACTGTTTCTATTAGAATTCTTTTTGTCTGACTTCTTTTGCATTCTTTTTCCATTTATTTATGATGAAAGAATGTATACATGCTTATATTCACTCTCTCATAGAAACGTTACTCTCCTTTAATGTACTAAGTAAACTCATCTACATTTCTATTTAGTTTTTAACTATATATTAAGTATTACTTTTTTTCTTTAAGCTAATTAATAGAAAATAATCTCGATTATTATTGTAATAATTTAACGTTAATAGTATATAGAAAGAGGAGTAGATTACCTAAATCAAACAATTGTTCTGATTTTTTTCTTGAGAAAACAATATGTCAGGTTTAATAGTAAAGCATAAATTTCAAATTATTTAAACATGAATAAAATCCTAAAATTTTATGATTTTTTTGTTAACTGAGTTTGAAGATAACGAGTGAGAAAAAAGAACTTGAAAATATGCATGATATATTTTAATCATTTATCTATTGTTATTTATTTATTTATAAAGTAAATTTTTCTGACATTTTCTATTTTCTCAGTATGTTGCTCGATATTTAGATTGTTATCTGTCTATGTTTTCTTTTCTTTGTTAAAGTTCCGTCAATAAAAGACTTTGAGAGATTTTAATGAATATAAAAAGAATCAGAAAGGGAAAAACACAGTATGTGATAAAGGAAGTAGAATTGTTGTAGATACATAATTCTAAATGCATGATTTACTCTCATTCTAATAAAATCAGCACTATTCTGACACATCGACTAGAAAATAAATAGTTAGAATCATTTTAGTTCTATTCATCGTTCGGCATTCTTTGTTTTGTTAATAGAAAAAAATTTATTTTTAATAACGATCTATTCATTGAATATTTTCGTTGTTTTATTATTAAGTAAGAATACAAATTATATTTTTTCTTCTAGATGTTAAAGATTTTCTCATAGAAAAACCAAATCGAACAAAAAAAAAAGAAAGATGATTTTAACAATCATATTTGGTATTATAGCTGCTGTATGTCTTGTTTCGTCGTTAATCTTTTATGTATTTATGCGCCCACAAAACAATCTTAATTCATCAAACAATGAAAAACAACAAATTATACATTCATTAAGACCATCAATAGATATAATAATAAAAAAATTAGATGAAGAATTACCATTTCGTTTAAGTACATCGAGTAATAAAACAAATCGATCATCAACACCAGTCGATCATTATGAAACAAATGAATTAATTCATAAAAAACAACATCGATCAGCTGGATCAATTTTTCCACCAATAACACAAACACGTTCACCTAGTTTAGCTACAGGATTATTTCCAACACATCGACCACGTAGTATACATAGACGACAAGGTTCAATTGTTGATCCAAATCAATTGGCATTGATTCAATTTACTCTTCCACCAACTAATAATAATAATAAATATCGACGTCGATCTGTAGCGATATGTAATAGTATAAATGAAACAAAAGAAAATTCAATAACAATAAGAGATCCAACATTACCATGTCTTCTTTCATTTTCAATAACATATTTAACAAACTCACAATTTAAAGTTCAATTTAATTCTTTACAATCATTACCATCAACTATTCATCTTCAACAATTAACTATTAAAGTTAAATTAACACCAGATGGAAAAGAAAAATCGTTGTGTATTAAGAAAATGATAATGAATGAAGCAACATTTGGAGATGAAAATTTTATTTTATTTTCAAATATACAATTTGAAAAACATAATGATAGAATTTTATCAATGACAGTTATTGGAAAAGATCTACATAAAAAAACAATACATCTTGGTCAAATTGGAAAAATTCATTTTAATCAAATAAATAAAGTTGAGAAAGAAAATCGAATTGATTTCATACATGAAGTTGAAAAAATGAAGCCAGTAAGATAATATTCATATATATATATATTCATATATTTATTTATATCTTTTTTTGTTTCTAGTCATCAGTTGAACTTCTTATTGCTCTTCGAAAAAAAGATGATCAACATATACATGTAGATTTATCACGTATAAAAGGATTAAAAATCGATCAAAAAAAACTCGGTTCGTATTTTCTTTTATAGTTAAAAATAATAAAATCTTTGTTTATTAGATGCAAAATGTTATGTAAAAATTCTTCTTCTTGATCGTCATCGAATATTATCAACAAAAATAACAAAATTTTATTCATTAAATTCATCGAATTTTAATATTGGAGAACAATTTGATTTTAATATTTTAACATTTGATTCAAATAATCTTGATCGTTTAATGTTTATGTTTAGTTTATATTCAAATTCAAATCCTGCAAATGAATATAAATGTATAGCTCGTGTTAAACTTGCTTCAGCTTTATTCTGCTCTGGTAGCGGTACTATTCATTGGCAACAATTTAAATTACGAGAATCATTTTCAATGTGGCATACATTAAACAAAGAACAACATTAATTATTCTATGAGAATGAATGACAAAACAACTGAATGAATTAAAATTTATTTTTAGGATTTATGCTGGAATCCATCTTTTTTTTTATTAAATTGTCAGTAGTTTTTTGAAAAAACGACAATAAATTAAGACATGACGCAATTTAAATTGTTTTAAATTTTTACAATAGAAAAGTATTCATATATGTAATTACAGAACTTTTCTTTTCTTTTTCTCATATCCAGGCTTACTATTTAAATATTTTTATGCATCGTAAAGTTCACTAGTGTAATCAAGTTTATTTTAACTTTCTAATTATAACTATGCATACAAATATGACTTTACGAATGTAATATTATTGAACAAGCCAAAATATTTTACATGATCTTTTTTTTTGAAGAAAAAAAATGATATTCATTAAGATAAACACTTAACAAGAAATATTTTAAGATAAGCACACTCAACGAAATGAATAATTAATATACCAAAGAAACCTTTCTATACTTATGAAAACATTTTTGAGATAAGAACAAGTCTGATTAATCAACTTCTATGAATATTATTATGGTTTATATGTAAATGACATATATTGAATTATCAACAAATATTCAACACATTTATAATCGAAATTTAATACAAATGTCATTTGATATTTTTCTTTCATTTCAAACAAAATATCGTATTTTCTTATAAAAATATATATTTAAATAATCCTATTTAATTTTTCTAAACCACTAAAATATTGTTTATCTAATTATACTAAAAGCATACTGTAAAATATAGGATACAAACTTATTTCTACTCTATGAAATGAAATGAAAGGAACAATGTAGACAGATTTGTCTTCTGTCATTATCAAAAAAATTCATATAATTTTTATTGTATCATTATTATGTTAATTTGATAAATGCTAGTTTGTACTTTTTTTTACAGAGTATTACGTAGTTTTTTTAGGCTATTAAGAATTGCGTAGTCGATGATGATACTTTATTCATGTTTGTCATAGGTTAAAAATTGTGTTTTCTGTGAAATAAACTTTTCAACTATATAATTTGATATTTATGAATAAGATTTTCTGAGACATATGCGTCATTATCTTTTCCTACGCACATATTATCATTAAGTTTTTATAAGATTTTGCGATGCAATAGAATATTTTATTTATTAATTTCTTTTAGCGAAAACCAACAGCATTATTATGTGAAGATGTAAAAAAAATGTCATTAAAAAGAAACAAGTTATTTAAAATAGAATATATTAGTTTTCAAGTATTTTAATATATCTTTTCAAAATGACCATGACATATAAAATTATTCACGCATCGCTTATTTATATTCTAATTCTATGATATTTTAAAGATTTAAACTAAATTACAGAAATAAAAATATCATACAATACTTTAACTGAAAGTAATATTCTAGTAATTGAAACACGGGAGTGCATATTTAATATTTGTTTTCATCACAACACTTGTCTGGTAATTATTTATACCTAAAATACTAATAAAAGGATTCTTTATAAACCCTTCCATGAAATCTAATATCAAAAATATGAATTTATGGGTTTTAACTACATAAATATTTTTCTAATCTATAGTTGCAGTACTTACAGTCAAAAGGTTAATATATATAAAATGAGATTTTAGTCAATCTATTATTTTTTTTTGAAACAAGATGGATTTTAACAAATGAGTATAAAAATAATATTTCCAATTTATACACTCTTCAATGCTCTTATAAAATCTTTTTTTTTGCAATAATTCAAACAATATCACATAGCTATTGCTAAATTACTTTTCTGAATATTTGAAAGCTACTTACTCAATGTTACATCTTTTCACATAAGTTTCAACAATCTATTTCGTAAATGTAACGAAAATATAGGTGTGGGTGGGTTCATGCATTTTAAAAGATGACACGCACACCCACCCTCAAGATTTATTTGAGAGAGAAGAACGAAAAGCAGTTTCTTTTGCTACTGGTTATGATATTCATTGAATATATTGATATAATTTCTTCTTTCCTCATTAAAGTTTTAGCAATTTAAAATGTTGCTGATTGCTAACTAAGAATAACTCAAATCAGAAGGTTTGACAAGTCTGATATAGATGTCTAAAGAACATGATATATTCTATCCGTTTATTTATCGAATATTTTAGAGACAATATTCAGTATTTAACAATAAACATGAAATAAATTAATATTGTTATACAGCAAATAATTAGCTTGTTGAATCATTATATGGTTACTAATAATTTAATTTATAGTTAAGTTTGATTGGAACCGACAGAAATATTAGTATATAGTCATTTTATAATATTATATAGATAAATATTTATGCATATAAAATTCTATCAGTACATAATCACATATCATTGAGGGTGTGAGCTTAGATTCATCTTTTCTTCAGCAACATCCACTTACACTCACATTCACACCCACCTCACATCCTTCTTTAAAGAAAAGATATTCTTTATTTTAATAATTACCAAACAGGTTTACTTCGATCTCTCTATTGAAGGGTAAGAACAAATAAAATGATGGTAATTTAATTAAACAATATGACAAATCTTAAGATAATGTTCTAATCAATGTTCAAAACAATTATATAACGAACTCGTTTTCGAAAGGAAACTGTTAAATGTATTCTTTCTACCTCACTATTCTCTACTATCACAGAAACTTCGATATATCAATACAGATATTTATTTTCAGAAACACACTGTTATCTTTATCATATACGAAATAACGTATATAACCATTTTCTTTCAAGAATATTATCGTTTTTATTTTTATTTCATTTCAATTAGTTTCTCATTTCAATCAAAAACACGAAAAAATATTTTCAAACAAATATTAATGATTACATTTTTATATTAGACATTGTTCAAGAATCGTTTTTCTTTCCGCAGATGACAATAATCAGATATCTAGTTGAACTTGACGATTTAAACAAATAAATAAAGGTTACAGTTCTATGTAAACAAGCACATGTCAGGCCATTTCGTTCTAAAGTGAATTGAAATAATATGATAAACAATGCCTATTTACTTCGATCGATGACTCATTTAACTTCTAGAATACATTTAACCATTCTTCTTACACAAAGATTGTTGATTTACTTTCTCTTAGTACTATAAGAAAGAATTCTTTTTTACTACAATCATATTAGATCTGATATTAACTTTCGACTATTTAAACAGATCAGTCTATCACATGTATTTATCTAAGAAGGATGTTTTTGTCGATTCTTCATCACATCCAGGTCTAGTCATTGTTCTTCTCTTCGTATAAATATCGTGTTAGCTGATTCATATTGTATACATCATCTGTTTTCGACAATCAAGTGAACTATCATATATTTATTTATTCTTTGTACATTAATAAATTTCTTTGTTCTAGTTAAATGATGGAAATATTAACTAAATTCATTATAATTGTTGCGATTAGTGCAATTTATGTTCAAGGCAAAATCTCTTCAACAAAAATTAAGAATGATGCTGCAAAAATGGTTGAAATCTATCAAATTTATATAATGCCATCTCGAAGAAACACAGTTAATGACATTTTTTCAGCACAATGCACTGTACTAACAAGTTGCTGCGGTGTTTCAGGAAAACAGTTGTTCAACATTCTTGACAGTCATGCACTTGAAGAAAAATGTCTTAACCGTCCAGCACTACCCTTAAGTAAGCCGGATCTATCGCTATGTCCACATTACAAAGAAAGATTGGATATGATTACAAAAAGTTCAGAATATAGTCGATTCTTGAAGCTTCATAGTGGAGTTCCAGGAAGTGATCAACTAATCAGAAATTGGCGATCACGAATGAAAAAAGCATGTTATGAAACTGAACTTCATCACTATTATTGTTTACCAGAACTTATGGATTCATTTCAATCATGTCAAGAAAAAATGTTACAATCACTCGCTAATGAAAATGGTGGCAAAAATTATGATGCTTTTGTTCGCAATTGGATCAATGATTTTACTACATTTAACAAAAGAATTGCTAAAGAATTTCCTCAATCAACTTAATTTTTTTCTCTTATTGAAAAATATTGTACTACTTGTCTTTTTTTGTGCTAAATATAATTCTATAAATACAGGATACTTATCTTTGTAATTAATCAGAAAGTTTTGAAGCAAAGCAATTGAAATGAATTCTGTTGAATTCTTATCTGAAATTGATCATGATCACTTACGGGCAAAAGACAGTTCTAATTAAATACCATTTATTTATTTTTGTAGTTTCTCTTCAGAATGAAGACTTTCTCAATATTTTTTATAGGCATCAGTGTGAAAGACACAAATTAAAAAATTGATCAATGACAAAATTAGTCGATGAATATCAAATAAAACAACCGAAATTTAAGGATAATTCAATCGTGTATGAGAGACTGAATATAAACGTGTTGCCCACATGTTTCGTTAATTAGTCTTTTTTTATTCAATCTTTATTTATCTTCGTTTTTTGTTTGTACGAACAAAACGTAGATATATTCTATCTTTTAACAATTCCTCCCAAGAACACATTTATCACATTTGAATATGTCAATAGAAATAAATGAAATGAAAAAGATATGATTCTAAGCAAAATATGAATGTGGGTGTATGGGTGTCGGTGTCTATCACCTCATAACCCACCCACACGAACACCCACACCCACCATTCGCAAGTTGTAATATACAGAATAATTCTGATTCTTTTTTTGACAGAAATTTTTTCGTTCAGATGTATTTGGAAAAATTGTCCGTTACCGTACGTTTTTTGTTTTGCAAAATAAACTATTAAAGGTGGAAATCTATTGACAGAAGTAGATCACTATTTTCTACTAACCGCCAAGCTGGTCACGTACCATGACCACAAGGAAAGCGATTTTTATCTGAAAAAAGTCCGTAAACAAATTCTCGAAGATATTGACTTTGAAGGGACCTGATATATATACTCCATTCATTGCTACAATTGTCCATTTTGTACATAAGCATTTTGAATTGAATCTGTGAAATTTTGTATTTCTTCATCAATATTAGAACCGACTACCTAAGCAGGTTTTTCATTAATAATCGCTTTAACAGGACTAACATTTTCAAACTCATCTTGATACATTAATCTATAATCAATATCGGAATTCAACGATAAATCTGATAAATTCCAACCAATACTAGAAGATACGCCGTTAAAATGACGATGAATAGAAGCAAAATGATCAAATGAAACGTGAGAATAATAACAAAAAATCAATACATTAGGCAGTTCCTCTATATAAAAAAGATAACCATCTGTAGCGAACAAATTATCGAATGGTATTACGGGTAATTTGAAATTTCTATCCAATGTTTTAAAATGGCATACAAATATTTTACCTTCAGAATCAAAAAAAAACTTTTTCTCGTAAGAAAAAAACTAACAGAACGACATTTTATATTGATGATTACAGATATTGTAGTCATTTTATTGCATTTGTTCTCTTTCTCACGTTATGACACGTGTCGTCAAGATAAAATGGTAAGGGAGAATACATATATATATATATAACATACGTTTAATAGTAAGTAACGCAAAATAAAAGCAAGTAGTAAAGAGTATTGATTTGTTCGATTAGGGTATGTCGAGATGAATATTTTTCCGTTTAGAGTCTTATATCTGTAAATCTTATTAAAATATTAGACAATAAAAGTACTACTTTCTTCTTTCAGACAAAATAATAATGAATCAAAATGCAGACATCACAAATTTCAATGGGAGCGCCACAGACGTTTGTAAACTAATCCTAATTGGATTGGAGGGAGTCGGAAAGACAACATTACTTAATGAAGCTTGTGGTGAACATTTTGATACGAGTGATGGACGTGCCGGTTGTCTAATTAAAGAAAATCAAAAAGGTGTATTCTTTGTTGATGGATTTTCTCGTCGTTATGAATTAAATGATATGTTAGGAATTAATTATAAAAATCCTGGTGAATGGCAGAAAGCACTTCATGGACGTTCAGAAGTACATGGTGTTATTTTTCTGCTTAGTGCAAGTAATCCTCGCGATAGTGCTCTTGGTGAATTACCTCGAATTTATGAATATTGCTCGAATTTGACTATTCCTGTACTTTTTATTTATCGTGATGGAGTTCTTCGCTTTACACCATTCATTCGAATCTATGCAGAAACGAGAGAGACTACCATAGACGATGAGGAAATTGGTTGTAAAATTAGTAAAAATGAATTTGTTCGTTATCAAAATTTGGATGAAGTGAAAAAATGTATTGCTACAACCTTTCAAAATGCTTGCATATTACATCAATTACTCGATCCAATTACTATTTGTGGACAAGTTAAAGTTTTACGGGAAAAGAACGAAGAATTAGAAATGAAAATTAACGAATTAAATCAAAAACATGAAGCTGAGTTAATCAGAAACCAAGAAACTATTAAGCAACTAAGTAAACGATATGATGAACAAATTGAAAAACTAAATCGATCACTCGATGAAGCTGCATCGAATAATAAAACTATGCAAGAAAGACTTGATCATATTGTGCAGAAAAATCAAGAATCACTTTTTAAAATTAGTAATGATATTCAATCATCAATTAATGAAAATCAACGTCTTCGAATTTCTCTTGAAGAACTTATGAAAGACAAACAAAGTCTCGAAGATAAACATTTAAAATTAATGACAGACAAAAAACAATTAGATTTCGATTTTCATGATATTACTCGTGATCGAGAACAAATTCAAAAAAATAAAACTAAACTAGAAAAAGATATCGCTGAAGTGGAACAAAACAGACAAACTTTACTCAAAGAAAAACGTTCATTAGAAGCTCGAAAAGAACATTTAGAACATCATATCGATGATACTCGATTACGTCTTGAAGAACAACTTAATCTTATTGTGAGTGTCATCCATACTGCGCCAGGTGGAAACAAACGAATTTATCCAAAAAAATACAATACAAATGGAAGATGGATGTGGTTACCCGGACGTGCATACGATGTTATCGAGAAATTTGATGAATTTGGAGAAAGTACGAAAGATGTTATTTGTTCTCTCAGAAAGGATTTGCGCAAAATCGATGCTAGATATGATCACACTTCTGCAAATGTAATCGAAGAAGAAGACTCCGAAATTGAATCTTAGTTTTAAATTGTCTGTATGATGAATATTGTTCTCTAAAAAAAATTTGTGTAACTGGTTTAAATAGAAAAAATTTGACAAGATTAATGTTTTTTGTATACACTATAAATGGGATTATGCTTGATGTATTTAAAATCAAGCTATAGATAAACAAATTACACCCTCTATGGTATAATCACCATCATCGCGTTTCGATTGATCAAAAAAAATAAAAATCATTAGTTTTAAAACTGCTTCAGGATGTATCAAACTAATACGATCTATTAACATAGTCATGAAAATAAAGATGAATACGATCAAGTCAGATGTAATTCGAATCATCTTGAGGGTGTAAGTGTGGGCTTTTCTCTTTTATCCATCATCGTCAACACACTTACACCCACCGCCAGTTTCGTTGAAGCTAGTCGAATATATACAGATTTTAAATCACAAGAAACTTGCAAGTCTTCGGGCAATTGTAACACGAATCAGTATTACTGTAAGCAAAATAATCGAAAATGCTGTACGAAATGTTACCCTGATAATCATTCAAAATGTAAAGATTACTAAATTTTTTTTATATTTATCAATAGGAAATTATAGATTTTTTCTGTTTACTATAGTTGTTTTTTTTCAATACCTTGCTTTATTTCTACCTCATCCATTCAATAAAAGACTAATTTTGATATCGAAAACAATTTTACGATTATTCATTTTAGAGTCAACTAGCTTCATCCTAGTTGATTATAAAGTCAACTCCGACGTATAGAACTTATTTTTCTATGAAACATAATTATTCATTAAATCTTTGAACTCCATTAAAACTTAATTTAGTTTTTCATATTCATTTAATAGATATCTGGACATTCATAAACATGCTATAACTCTCATAACATGGTAAACAAAAAACTATTTATAACACCATAATAGAATTTATTCTTATCACAAAGAACGACGACAAAATAACTTTTGCTTATGTTTTTGTTGACTATATAAGTTATGAACATTTAACAAATTTTTAGTTTTCTAAATACATCTATTTGAAAAAACAAAATCGGAGTTTATTAATGAACAAATAAATAATAAATTGTTAACTGCATATAATATTGAAGATTTAAACTATAACGATCATGTCTGAAAACAAAAAGATTTATTATTTTAATAAATATGTATATCAAAGAAATAATCCTATTGATAATTTGTCAAATATTTAATAAATTTTATTAACTTACATTTCTGTAAATAAAACCATTTAATCGATTTTTATTCCAAAACTAATGTACTTTCTTAACTGAACTTGATAATTAAATTAATATAATTTATTTAGAATAAATCACATATTTTACTTCCAAATTAAAACAGTGTGTTTTTTTTATAAATATTAGCACATTAAACAATAGTTTCTATGCTACATTGAAATACAGAACCGAAATAATGTTCCCTTGACTCTTCGTTGTCTACAATGGGAAGAAAGTAAAAGAAATATATATAAAAAGTGCACTCTGACAGACAGAACGAAAGGAAACAACAAAAAAGCTATTTGTACTGTACTCTAACATCATATCTATCTATTCTACAACAGTAAAAAGTAAGTTGATTCATTATTAATTCGATTTCAATAGCAGAAGACTTCGAATGATTTTGTTTCTTAAAAAAAAAATTTTTATTTATATAGGCTAATATCTCAATTTTTCCAAAGAAAATAATATGATTATTTGTAAAAATTAGTAGAGAGGATACAGTTTTCAATCTTAAGAAGATTTTTTTAGAGAAAATTATTCATTTTTTTTTGTTTTACAAACATTTTATATAGTCATCGATGAGAAAAATTTGTACATTGTAATAGTTAACATTTTTTTTGCATTGATTTCTAGAAGCTTCATGATAAAAATATCTTCTATAAAAAAGAAAACATGCACTGCAGATGACCCGATGAGCAAAAATTGTAATAAAAATGATTTTTATCATTTTTACGTACAGATCCGAAGAATAATTTTCAAATAAAGATAAAGGTGACAAGAATGTTAGTATTTGTCGAGTTCGTTGTCTCTATTATACATAAGTTGAATCTATCAAACACTTCCTATGTATAAAAATATTAATTATATTTTCAACTCCATGTTTTAGAATTTAACAATATTTCTAACATTCGATGTCATCCAAACGAAGACTATCTGCATCAAAACCACCACAAGAAATTGATGGTGATTCAAATGTAAATGAATCAGAAGATTCATCTCGATCAGATATTTGTCTCGTATGTGGTGACAAAGCGCGTATTATCAATTATGGAGCACTTTCTTGTCTATCATGTAGAACATTTTTTCGTCGCAATGGCTTTCGACCAGATGTATGTATTTACGAATCACTTTTAGTTTATTGTAACATATATTATTTTAATTAATAGGGTCTTCGTCCATGTACTTTCAATAAATGTTGCGAAATTAATATGCAAACACGACATACATGTACAGCTTGTCGTCTTGCAAAATGTTTTAGGATGGGTATGAGTTCAGATCTAATTCGTAAAGAAGATACAAAAAAATTAAAATGTACTTCATCATTAAAACAATCTTCTACTACTGATCAAAGCACATCTCAACAAGTCACAGTTCGTATAAATATTATAATATTTTTATTCTATATAGATATATATATCTTCTAATATTCAATCATTTGAAAAATTTGATGTAGAATAACTTTGGATTTGAAGGTTGATATTGCTTATTGATTGTACTAATCAAGTTTCCAATTTTTGTATACTAAGCATGACAAAGTATGAAAAGAAATGAGCTGATTTAGTGCTATTGATAAGTCTATACGAGAATTAAAATCTAAAACACAGATGTGTTAAATTTATTTACTTTATTTAGACTGCACCACAACTAGTCACATCAAATACGTCAAATATTCTTCACAGTGATCAATCTTCTCATTTTGATTCTCAGTGGACATTACTATCAAATATTGTACATTCTCATGATACATTTAGTACCATGTCACAAATGCTTTTTACTGTCAACAATTTACCTACATTAAGTGTTGAAACACATAGTAATGTGATTAATCCTATTGAAATTATCAATCAAATGTGTATATCAATGCAATCATTTATTAGTTCTTCACCTGATTTTCGAGTATTAACTCTTAGTGAACAAACTTCATTGTTCGAACGAAATTTACCTGGTGTTGTTGCTTTTTACTCAACTCTTTTTTTTCGCCATACAGGCATTCTTCGTATTCCTGAATATCTCAATGCATTTATAACAATATATGGATCAGATATAATGTTATCACTAAGACATACTATTGAACAATTAGATCCTGATCCAACATTGATTAAAATCATACTTATTATATTAGCTTTTTCATCAAATTGTCTTATTGTTAATACAAATAAAACGATGGAACGTGATAGTTTATTAGATGGCACATTTCGTCTATTAGGAAGTCAGAATGTTTATGTAGAACTTTTGTGGAAATATTTGATTTCGAAATATGGTTATGATGAATCAGTACTTCGTTTCGCTCGACTTATACAGATCTTCTTATGTGTAATGAAGAAATTAGCAGTTGTTCATACAAATAATGCAATTCATAGAGCAATATTTGATGATATTGCTGACAGAACAAAAAAAATTCTTGCTAATAACGAAAATGATCGAACTCTTTTATGGGGGAAAAGTTTAGTTAGTTAATTTTAATAAAAGTTATTGTTGATTATCTTTATTTCTTTTTTT